TATAGGGGTCTTGTTGTATTTTCTTTTTCTCCTGGCACTTATACCACGTATTTTACCTTTGTAAGTCTACCTTTCCACTCTCTCTCTCCTTTTTTAAAAAAATGATAATAACCTAGGTTAACAAACTCTAAATGGAAGAAGGCAAAGGTCTTGAGCAGGAAAGACCCAGCAGGAATGAGAGGGTGTCTGCCCTATTCAAAGGGCCTGTCTTTCAACCGGCTTCAGCCTATCAGAAGTGGGAGGAGTGACTTGCACCAAAGTAGACCATGAAGGGAGGAGGACCGACTGCTTCTGATACAAGCCGGCTCCTAAAAGAGCCCTTTATTACCTGAGCAATTTGTCCTCCTGTAGAGCCACATTCCTCCCTATTTCAGGCACAGGAAACCCCAGGTGCTCCATGTATTTTGTTTCATTGATGATCTCTCGAAGTTTGGGAGAAAAGTTGACCGTGAATTGCGTGCTTTTCTCTCCGGCGTCCACCTCTTCGGAACGCGGGTTCTGCATCCCAGGAGATCAACCACCGGAGTGAGGAGGACAGACCGGAACACAGTTTGAAGGCAGAAGCAAGGGTGGCCATAAAGCGGTGCGGACATTCATGATACTTCCCTGCAATCGCTGTATCCTCCCCCCCGCCCCCAGAAAGAAAGAAAAAGCTCTCTAATCACCTGCTCTGTGGTCTCCAAGTTAGCCTGAATAATAGCTCCAGAGGGATGAACTTTGGCAAGGAGAGTTTTTTTCAGTAAGACAGGAAGCCTGTCTTCTGTGTTTTCTCTCCACTGGTCGTATTTCATATCCTCATACTCTTTCATCCTCTTTGCCACTTCAAGGTATTTTTGTTTCACCTGAAATACACGAGTCGGCACGACACGCATTCGTTGGTACTGACTTTAAAAGGCTTGCATCCCGCTCTCCAGTCTGAGAGAGCCGTCAGAGCAGCTGACAAGAACATTTGTTTTCAAACAGAAGTGGTCAAAATGATTCAGAAGCTTCCCATCACAAAAGCTTCTGACCTGCTGGTTCGCTGACACATAAGACAGTACCGACTAAGGCTTATGATTAGTGGAGCAAACTCCAGCCCACCTCTTTTCCACGCTCACTGGCCAGCAGTTCTTCCACTTCTTGAAACCGAACGATCGTGTGCTTGATGCGGTAGAAAAGGGATCGTGCCCAGTAAATGGCTCCTGCCATTGGAGGATGATTCTTGCACAAAGGTGGGTTGGCCAGGTTACTAACAAAGATGTTGTTAATGATATCAAGCTGCGGATAAGAAACAAACCTCATTTCACCTCACAGTGACTTAGTTTCTTTGTTACAAACAACGTATAGGCAGAATTTGGAAAACTTAGTTCATTGAACTACAACTCCCAGCGTGCACAAACCTTGTTTTTTGGAACTACAACTCCCAGAATGTACCAACCAAGATGGCAACTAACCACGTCAACTGGAAGTTCCTAAGAATTGCAATACTGATACAACTGGAGAGCACCTTCCTGCA